GGCCTAAATGCCTTCGATTCACAATCTCTTATTTTTCACAGAACCTATGCAATTCCAATCTTATATTAACCAATTTGAAAAGGATTTATGGCTCTTCGAAATGCTACACCAACATGAGGAAGTGAACGATCTAGCAGTTAAGGAACACAATTGCATGCTGATTCAACAGTTCCTTCTGTTTTCCAACGTTAACATTAAACAATTGAAAGGAAGGTACAGTTAAGGAACATAATGTTATGCTGACTAACGAGTTTCTCCAAGGATGACATTCCAACTTTAAGATCACTTAGTTGGATGCTCTCCATTATAAGAAAGAAGACAGTGTGCGTAGTTATGTTCAGGTTCCTTTAGATCGTACCTCTTATACATCATCTTTGAATGAAGTTAAGAAACACAATGTTATGCTGACTACTTATTTGCTCCTGGGTTGTCATTCCAACTTTAACATCACACAATTGGATGTACACTGACGCTTATCAGGAGGGACCTTCATGTATACAGAGAGGGCATGCAAAGTTATATGCAGGATTCCATAGATCGTACCTCGTTTACAGCATCCTTGAACAACAGACGCAATATTACAAACCTAGAAAACAGATGGCACCTACATCGGGTCAAAGAACATAAAGTCATGCTGACTTAATAGTTCCTCCTGTGATATCATCCCAACTTTAATATCACACAGTTGAATGCTCCACGAGGCTTATCAAGAAGAACCTTCAAGTATACAAGTGGAGCATTCGAAGTTACGTGCAGGATTCCTTAGTTCGTACCTCGTATACAACAGCTTTAAATGACATTCATAGAAACGCTATAAATCCTGGAGCAACATCTTCAACGCCTACTGGTTCTACATAGACCGTGTCAACCCTAATGTATGACAAACATGTGGTCGGGATTTCCATTATACCCCAACATACTTGACACAAAACTTTCGGATTTGTGAATACCATCATGTCATATTCCAGGATCTACTGCTAAGCAGTTCTAAGATATAATAATCTCTGAAATTTTTTCAATTTGATCAATTAGTGCTGGTTTCTTAAGCCCATTAGACGCCCTACAGAACTTTTACATACGATTCTTTGTTCTAGCAGTTCAATGATAAGTTTCTGTCGACCAGAAATCTCTGTGAATCAGGCGTTAGATAGAGAAACTTTAGCTTTAAATTGTAGAGAAAATTAAGACACCATAGACTAGAGATGAACTGATCCAGGCTTTTCATTTGTACTGCAAGCAATAATATTGTGTCTTCCAACTGTTGGGGATTTGTGTTAATGCCAAGGCTTAGTATCCCAATTAAAAAAGTGAAGGATGTTCAAGAATGATCTAACTCCTGAAAAATTGCACGTTTTTCTTCCAGAAAACTAGAGATCTAATGAAACTTTCTCATGGATATGTAAGTGGTTTTAGAACTCCTCCGATAACTAAGCGTTTGAGGTGGTGCGGATAAAGTAGAACTTGTTTTGATCCAGTTTCTTCATTTGTAATGCAAGCAATGAGATTGTGCTGAGATAGTCCACTTGATTTCTCAACATTTTTTCTCCATGGATCTACAGAGTTGCAGGAATCATCTAGAGTGTTTTTTTTTTCATCTCCAAGTAAGTGATCTTGTTAATGGCGAGGCTTAGCATCGCAATTAAAAAACTGGAGGATGTTCAAGAACGATCCAACTCCTGGAAAGTTGCTCGTATTTCTTCCAGCAAACTAATGATAAAATGGAACTTTCTCATGGATATGTAAGTAGCTTTAGAGCTCTTCCGATATTTAAGGAGTTTAATAGCTTTATCGCCAATGACGACGCATGCAATTACAACGAAAAGAAAACCACTGTGCGAGTACTGTCGTGAGAGTGGAAGGCTCATGAAAAGTACGGGACATAAGCGGCACTTCCTTCACTGACTCTCTGTAAGGTCTGAATGTGGATTATTCTCTTGAAGAGCAAGTATAATATGAATGTAATTTGAACGTCAATCGAATGGCTACGATTACGGTAATCGGATAGGACTCTAACATGCAACTGTTATGGAACAAGTGTTTTGCATGAGAAGCAAAAGATGTGGGAAAATGACTTTATATGTAAAATGAAGTAACGTCTTAAATAATCAACTGCATATGGAAGTTGAAGTCCTAATAAGGATTCAGTTTTGAAGGCAATTTCCAAGAATTTGCAAACAAAGCTCTGAAATTTGATATTTCTTTTGAAGATATTCTAGAACAGTTTCTCTCTTGTATAATTTCTTGAAGACATATTACACAGTAACTGCAATAAGCAACAATTTTGAGGTAAAATTTCCTAGAAAAAAGTTCAAAGCTTTGAATACCTTCGTCTTTTTTTGATTTAGTTACCTTTCAAGCATAAGTAATCATTAACATCCAAGAGTTCCCTCAAAAAAACTAGTTCCTTTTAAAAATTCCTAATTTGAGTTGTTCAAAGTTTTTAAGTACCCAAACTACAACACCTTTTCAAAAGACCCTTAACTACATTTGATCTATTTTTTTTTTGCAAAATTTTTTTTCCTCTCGCCTCACTGAATCCAATTAGTATTTTAAACTTGCTACTTTTCTTTTACAACTTTTTAACCCTTTTTTTCTGTTGCTAATAAACTATTATTCAAAATGATTTAAATTAAAACAACCCTGTAAAATAGAAAAACAACAACAACAACAATGACAAAAGCTTACAACTTGAAATGAAATATATTGAAATTGTTTTTGTTTATGTGTGTGATGATGATTAAGAAATGTGAACATAAATAATAAACCCCAACCTACCTCAACAAAAACAAATATACAAAAAAGAGAAAAAACAAAAAAATATATATATAAAAAAATTTTAAAATAAAAACAAACATGCACGCACAGGCCAAAAATATGGAAACAAAAATAAATACAACAAGCCTACCCCAACCCCACATTCATACAATCATACACTTTTACTTTACTTAGTAACTCGTTTACGAGAGCCAACACGATTAGCTACGAGGTAGGTTTGTTGTTAGCCGATGGCAGGAGAGAAAGAGAGAGATAGCGTTATGTTTATTTGTAAACAGAGCGAGTGAGGGAGGCACGATAAACTAGTACCCCACTTCCTATACAAAACTTTTTACAGGCAAAAAATACTTGTACATGACTTTGAAACATTTTTTTTCGGTTTAAGGAAATGTAAACAGCAATGAGCAAATTTTAAAAAGAGAGTGAGAGAGAGAGAAAAAAAGAGCCTAACAAACCATTTTTGATAACCTTTGTGGTTACTTCTCTTGCCCTTTAAGTTTAATAATGTTTTGCGAACTTCCTTCCGTTTTGTTAGCTTAAAGATTTTTTTTTGGAAAATTTGTAGTAAAATTATATAAAAATAACTTTTTTATAATCTAAATAATTTTAAAAAATTTAAAAAAAAAAATTCACTTCGAAAACTACTTGCATTCTCTTCGATTTAGTTTAAACATTATTTAAGAGTTTATTGTATTTGAATCAGGGATGGAAAATTCCGTACTATTTTAAAGCTTTTCAGTTCGAGTTCAATTCTAGATCAGTTCTAGTTCAGTTATAGTTCTAGTTCAGTTCTAGTTCAGTTTTAGTTCAGTTCTAGTTCAGTTATAGTTCAGTTTTAGTTCAGTTCTAGTTCAGCTCTAGTTCAGTTCTAGTTCAGTTCTAGTTCAGTTCTAGTTCTAGTTCAGTTCTAGTTCAGTTCTAGTTCAGTTCTAGCTCAGTTCTAGTTCAGTTCTAGTTCAGTTCTAGTTCAGTTCTAGTTCAGTTCTAGTTCAGTTCTAGTTCAGTTCTAGTTCAGTTCTAGTTCAGTTCTAGTTCAGTTCTAGTTCAGGTTCTAGTTCAGCTTCTAGTCAGTTCTAGTTCAGTTCTAGTTCAGTTCTAGTTCAGTTCTAGTTCAGTTCTAGTTCAGTTCTAGTTCAGTTCTAGTTCAGTTCTAGTTCAGTTCTAGTTTCAGTTCTAGTTCAGTTCTAGTTCAGTTCTAGTTCAGTTCTAGTTCAGTTCTAGTTCAGTTCTAGTCAGTTCTAGTTCAGTTCTAGTTCAGTTCTAGTTCAGTTCTAGTTCAGTTCTAGTTCAGTTCTAGTTCAGTTCTAGTTCAGTTCTAGTTCAGTTCTAGTTCAGTTCTAGTTCAGTTCTAGTCAGTTCTAGTTCAGTTCTAGTTCAGGTTCTAGTCAGTTTCTAGTTCAGTTCTAGTTCAGTTCTAGTTCAGTTCTAGTTCAGTTCTAGTTCAGTTCTAGTTCAGTTCTAGTTCAGTTCTAGTTCAGTTCTAGTTCAGTTCTAGTTCAGTTCTAGTTCAGTTCTAGTTCAGTTCTAGTTCAGTTCTAGTTCAGTTCTAGTTCAGTTCTAGTTCAGTTCTAGTTCAGTTCTAGTTCAGTTCTAGTTCAGTTCTAGTTCAGTTCTAGTTCAGTTTCTAGTTCAGTTCTAGTTCAGTTCTAGTTCAGTTTTAGTTCAGTTCTAGTTCAGTTCTAGTTCAGTTCTAGTTCAGTTCTAGTTCAGTTCTAGTTCAGTTCTAGTTCAGTTCTAGTTCAGTTCTAGTTCAGTTCTAGTTCAGTTCTAGTTCAGTTCTAGTTCAGTTCTAGTTCAGTTCTAGTTCAGTTCTAGTTCAGTTCTAGTTCAGTTCTAGTTCAGTTCTAGTTCAGTTCTAGTTCAGTTCTAGTTCAGTTCTAGTTCAGTTCTAGTTCAGTTCTAGTTCAGTTCTAGTTCAGTTCTAGTTCAGTTCTAGTTCAGTTCTAGTTCAGTTCTAGTTCAGTTCTAGTTCAGTTCTAGTTCAGTTCTAGTTCAGTTCTAGTTCAGTTCTAGTTCAGTTCTAGTTCAGTTCTAGTTCAGTTCTAGTTCAGTTCTAGTTCAGTTTTAGTTCAGTTCTAGTTCAGTTCGAGTTCAGTTCAGTTCAGCGTTTTTCCATGTATTTCAAAATTTCAATTTTCCATACATGTCAGCAACTGCTAAACAGGTTCTGTTAGAATTTTCACTTTCGTTTATTAAAGAGATTTCTATGTTAAGAACTTTTTTGTTGTCGTAGTATAGAGAGTGAGAGTGATACTGTGCTGTTGCATTGTTTAAGCTCTTATAATGTTGTTTAAAGGGGGAGTGCTTAATAAATGGCAAATAAAAGCGAATTTTAGTCAGAGAAAGTACGTTAAATGAAACGGTTAAGAAACCCGGTATAAAATTTTTTTTGTTAACGCTAAAAATTTTGTCTAAATATTAAACGGAATTTTAATTAAAACAAAAACGCAAAATTCTTTATAAAAAGTGATTTGTTAACTAAACAAAAGAAATAAAGAAGAAAATAAAATGAAACAAATTTAAATAAAAAGTAAAGCAAGAATATATTGAAAAAGAATGTGGAAAATATATGAATAAAGAAAATTTAAAAAAAAAAATATTTAATTTTGTTATTGAAGTGTTTATGGCAAAAGTTAGTTGTATTACACACTTACATATGCTAAGCTTAATTTCTGGTGAAATAAAAAATACAACAAATTTTCTTTATAGTAACGTGTATGTATAAAAAATATAAACAGTTGTCCTTGTCCTTGGTTAATGCTAAATGTTATAACAAGGCTTTTATAACAACAACAACAACTATGAAAATAATAATAACAACTACAAAAAAAGCCTTCCCTTATAATAAAAAAATAATAACAGCAATTGAAATTCAATGAAATTTAACTTATAAACAAGAATAAAAATAACAACAAAAATTTACAGTAAATATAAAAATTAACAGTAATTCAAAAACATTTGCAAAAAAAAAAGCTCTTAGCTTTTCCTTAAATGCTCTTTCAAACCAGAAATAACGTTAGTTTTTTTACTCTCTTCAAATGTTATAGTTACCTCGCTCTATTAAGAAAAACAAAACAAAAAAACTTTCAATGTTATCTAGCCCCTCAAATAGGCAAACATGTGTGTGAGTGTGTATACAATTGTTATTATTAAGTGATTTTCCTCATTGTCGTCATTCACTGTCACTGCCAATGTCAAAGTCGGCTGTTTTTTGTTTATGTATGTGTGTTTTTTGCATGTAAACGAGAGTGTGCTTGAGTTTTTGTTTGTATTTCTATTACACTTACATACAAAAAAATGTTGTAAGTGTGTTTTTCATTTTAAACGTAATAATAACAGTTATTTATAACTGTTCTCTTATTGTTGTTGCTGTTTTGTAGCCATATTTTGACTGTTGTCGTTCAATTTCCAGCGGAAGTGCGTTGAAATGTCAACGCATTTGATTAACACAGATTTTTGCGGTAATTGAGCTAAAACAGCTGTTTAATTTAGACTTAATGTTTGTTTAAAAGGCAGACTAATTAGAGGTTTGTTAGGGAAATGTTAAAAATAGAATGTAATAATAAGTTATACATACTTGTAATACTGAACATCTTGTAATTTTTTTGTCCCACAGTTACTCATTGCGAAAATGCCTGAAATTTGAAAAACAAAGGCGTATGAGTAATTTTGTAATGCAAATTTTCTATGCAACTTAAAGAGACGTATGAGCAATTTCTTTTTAATCTACATAATAAATAAATTTAAGGGGTTTTCATAACTTTTAAGCTTAATTTTTTAGTTCTGTTCTAGTTCTAGTTCTGTTCTAGTTACGTTCTAGTTCTGTTCTAGTTCTGTTCTCGTTCTGTTCTAGTTCTGTTCTAGTTCTGTTCTAGTTCTGTTCTAGTTCTGTTCTAGTTCTGTTCTAGTTCTGTTCTAGTTCTGTTCTAGTTCTGTTCTAGTTCTGTTCTAGTTCTGTTCTAGTTCTTTTCTAGTTCTGTTCTAGTTCTGTTCTAGTTCTGTTCTAGTTCTGTTCTAGTTCTGTTCTAGTTCTGTTCTAGTTCTGTTCTAGTTCTGTTCTAGTTCTGTTCTAGTTCTGTTCTAGTTCTGTTCTAGTTCTGTTCTAGTTCTGTTCTAGTTATGTTGTAGTTCTATTCTAGTTCTGTTCTAGTTCTGTTCTAGTTCTGTTCTAGTTCTGTTCTAGCTCTGTTCTAGCTCTGTTCTAGTTCTGTTCTAGTTCTGTTCTAGTTCTGTTCTAGTTCTGTTCTAGTTCTGTTCTAGTTCTGTTCCAGTTCTGTTCTGTTCTAGTTCTGTTCTAGTTCTGTTCTGTTCTAGTTCTGTTCTAGTTCTGTTCTAGTTCTGTTCTAGTTCTGTACTAGTTCTGTTCTAGTTCTGTTCTAGTTCTGTTCTAGTTCTGTTCTAGTTCTGTTCTAGTTCTGTTCAAGTTCTGTTCTAGTTCTGTTCTAGTTCTGTTCTAGTTCTGTTCTAGTTCTGTTCTAGTTCTGTTCTAGTTCTGTTCTAGTTCTGTTCTAGTTATGTTCTAGTTCTATTCTAGTTCTGTTCTAGTTCTGTTCTAGCTCTGTTCTAGTTCTGTTCTAGCTCTGTTCTAGTTCTGTTCTAGTTCTGTTCTAGTTCTGTTCTAGTTCTGTTCTAGTTCTGTTCTAGTTCTGTTCTAGTTCTGTTCTAGTTCTGTTCTAGTTCTGTTCTAGTTCTGTTCTAGTTCTGTTCTAGTTCTGTTCTAGTTCTGTTCTAGTTCTGTTCTAGTTCTGTTCTAGTTCTGTTCAAGTTCTGTTCTAGTTCTGTTCTAGTTCTGTTCTAGCTCTGTTCTAGTTCTGTTCTAGCTCTGTTCTAGTTCTGTTCTAGTTCTGTTCTAGTTCTGTTCTAGTTCTGTTCTAGTTCTGTTCTAGTTATGTTCTAGTTCTATTCTAGTTCTGTTCTAGTTCTGTTCTAGTTCTGTTCTAGCTCTGTTCTAGTTCTGTTCTAGTTCTGTTCTAGTTCTGTTCTAGTTCTGTTCTAGTTCTGTTCTAGTTCTGTTCTAGTTCTGTTCTAGTTCTATTCTAGTTCTGTTCTAGTTCTGTTCTAGTTCTGTTCTAGCTCTGTTCTAGTTCTGTTCTAGCTCTGTTCTAGTTCTGTTCTAGTTCTGTTCTAGTTCTGTTCTAGCTCTGTTCTAGTTCTGTTCTAGCTCTGTTCTAGTTCTGTTCTAGTTCTGTTCTAGTTCTGTTCTAGTTCTGTTCTAGTTCTGTTCTAGTTCTGTTCTAGTTCTGTTCAAGTTCTGTTCTAGTTCTGTTCTAGTTCTGTTCTAGTTCTGTTATAGTTCTGTTCTAGTTCTGTTCTAGTTCTGTTCTAGTTCATTACTTTTTCACTTCTACTTAATTTCTTGTACATTACTAGTTCCGTATGTCTATATTGTTCTGTTATTTATGTTCCAATTCTCCATCATTCCCATCAACTAACAATTTCACATTTTTCAGTTTTATTTTGTTGTTGCAAAAAAAAGAATTTATTGGCAAACGTGTTTGAAAAAATAAACAATCATAATAATATAATAAATTTTATTAACAAAATAATGACAAAATATAAAGGAAAGCAAAAAAATAAATGTAAATAAAAAAATATGTGTGTTTGTTAGCTGTTCTAAAATGAAATTGAAAAAAAGTGAAAAAAAAAACAGAAATAATTTATTTATAAGTTTGCGGCAGCAAAATATTTCAAGGTTATCTCACTTAAAAATGTATAATACACCTTAAAGCTAAATGAATGCTATAACAACAACAAAAATATGTGAATAAAAAAAAAATACACTGAAAAAATTAACGAAGAAATAAAATAATAATAACAAATTAAAACGAATTTTAAAATAATTTCAACATAATTAAAGTTCATATAAAAAAATATTATTTAAAATTAAATAAAATTATTAAAAGTACTGAAAATAAATAAAAATATTTGCGTTCTTTCTTCTACTTTTTAGGTTTAACAATGGCAAAAACTAGAAATTGTCGAAATTAAAAAAAAAAAAAATAATCAAAAAAAAAAAAGTTTTTTTAATATTTAAAATCTATAAATTGTTTAAAACTTTAAATAAATCAAACTTAATTTTTATATAACAATATACATACATAATTAAGTAAATAGTATAAAATACAATATTAATCAACAAAATTATTTTTTTTAATAATTTAATTATATAAACGTATTAATTATTACATTAACTTTGGGAATATTATTTAATCATCAAAATAAAATATATTTAATTAACAAAAACAACTATTATTAAGGTGAGTTTTTTTAAATCAATTTGAATTATTTATAACAGAGATTTTGGACTTAGTTCAGTTTTAGTTCAGTTCTAGTTCAGGTCTGGTTCAGTTCTAGTTCTAGTTCAGTTCTAGTTCAGTTCTAGTTCAGTTCTAGTTCAGTTCTAGTTCAGTTCTAGTTCAGTTCTAGTTCAGTTCTAGTTCTAGTTCAGTTCTAGTTCAGTTCTAGTTCAGTTCTAGTTTTAGTTCAGTTCTAGTTCTGTTCTAGTTCTCTTCTAGTTCTTTTCTAGTTCTTTTCTAGTTCTTTTCTAGTTCTGTTCTAGTTCTGTTCTAGTTCTGTTCTAGTTCTGTTCTAGTTCTGTTCTAGTTTTGTTCTAGTTCTTTTCTAGTTCTGTTCTAGTTCTGTTTTAGTTCTGTTCTGTTCTAGTTCTGTTCTAGTTCAGTTCTAGTTCTGTTCTAGTTCAGTTCTAGTTCAGTTCTAGTTCAGTTCTAGTTCTGTTCTAGTTCAGTTCTAGTTCAGTTCCAGTTCAGTTCTAGTTCTGTTCTAGTTCTGTTCTAGTTTTGTTCTAGTTTTGTTCTAGTTTTGTTCTAGTTTTGTTCTAGTTTTGTTCTAGTTTTGTTCTAGTTTTGTTCTAGTTTTGTTCTAGTTCAGTTCTAGTTCAGTTCTAGTTCAGTTCTAGTTCAGTTCTAGTTCAGTTCTAGTTCAGTTCTAGTTCAGTTCTAGTTCAGTTCTAGTTCAGTTCTAGTTCAGTTCTAGTTCAGTTCTAGTTCAGTTCTAGTTCAGTTCTAGTTCAGTTCTAGTTCAGTTCTAGTTCAGTTCTAGTTCAGTTCTAGTTCAGTTCTAGTTCAGTTCTAGTTCAGTTCTAGTTCAGTTCTAGTTCAGTTCTAGTTCAGTTCTAGTTCAGTTCTAGTTCAGTTCTAGTTCAGTTCTAGTTCAGTTCTAGTTCAGTTCTAGTTCAGTTCTAGTTCAGTTCTAGTTCAGTTCTAGTTCAGTTCTAGTTCAGTTCTAGTTCAGTTCTAGTTCAGTTCTAGTTCAGTTCTAGTTCAGTTCTAGTTCAGTTCTAGTTCAGTTCTAGTTCAGTTCTAGTTCAGTTCTAGTTCAGTTCTAGTTCAGTTCTAGTTCAGTTCTAGTTCAGTTCTAGTTCAGTTCTAGTTCAGTTCTAGTTCAGTTCTAGTTCAGTTCTAGTTCAGTTCTAGTTCAGTTCTAGTTAGTTCAGTTCTAGTTCAGTTCTAGTTCAGTTCTAGTTCAGTTCTAGTTCAGTTCTAGTTCAGTTCTAGTTCTAGTTCAGTTCTAGTTCAGTTCTAGTTCAGTTCTAGTTCAGTTCTAGTTCAGTTCTAGTTCAGTTCTAGTTCAGTTCTAGTTCAGTTCTAGTTCAGTTCAGTTCAGTTCTAGTTCAGTTCTAGTTCAGTTCTAGTTCAGTTCTAGTTCAGTTCTAGTTCAGTTCTAGTTCTAGTTTCTAGTTCTGTTCTAGTTTGTTCTAGTTTTGTTTCTAGTTTTGTTCTAGTTTTGTTCTAGTTCTGTTCTAGTTCAGTTCTAGTTCAGTTCTAGTTCAGTTCTAGTTCAGTTCTAGTTCAGTTCTAGTTCAGTTCTAGTTCAGTTCAGTTCTAGTTCTGTTCTAGTTCAGTTCTAGTTCTATTCTAGTTTTGTTCTATTTCTGTTCTAATTCTGTTCTAGTTCTGTTCTAGTTCTGTTTTAGTTCTGTTCTAATTCTGTTCTAGTTCTGTTCTAGTTCTGTTCTAGTTTTGTTCTAGTTCTGTTCTAGTTCTGTTCTAGTTCTGTTCTAGTTCTGTTCTGTTCTAGTTCTGTTCCAGTTCTGTTCTAGTTCTGTTCTAGTTCTGTTCTAGTCGTTCTAGTTCTGTTCTAGTTCTGTTCTAGTTCTGTTCTAGTTCTGTTCTAGTTCTGTTCTAGTTCTGTTCTAGTTCTGTTCTAGTTCTGTTCTAGTTCTGTTCTAGTTCTGTTCTAGTTCTGTTCTAGTTCTGTTCTAGTTCTGTTCTAGTTCTGTTCTAGTTCTGTTCTAGTTCTGTTCTAGTTCTGTTCTAGTTCTGTTCTAGTTCTGTTCTAGTTCTGTTCTAGTTCTGTTCTAGTTCTGTTCTAGTTCTGTTCTAGTTCTGTTCTAGTTCTGTTCTAGTTCTGTTCTAGTTCTGTTCTAGTTCTGTTCTAGTTCTGTTCTAGTTCTGTTCTAGTTCTGTTCTAGTTCTGTTCTAGTTCTGTTCTAGTTCTGTTCTAGTTCTGTTCTAGTTCTGTTCTAGTTCTGTTCTAGTTCTGTTCTAGTTCTGTTCTAGTTCTGTTCTAGTTCTGTTCTAGTTCTGTTCTAGTTCTGTTCTAGTTCTGTTCTAGTTCTGTTCTAGTTCTGTTCTAGTTCTGTTCTAGTTCTGTTCTAGTTCTGTTCTAGTTCAGTTCTAGTTCAGTTCTAGTTCTGTTCTAGTTCTGTTCTAGTTCTGTTCTAGTTCTGTTCTAGTTCGTTTCACTCCTTAGTTTGTCTTAATATTATCTTTATTTCTAAATTTCTTTGCAGTTTTCTACATCTTATAATACAATTATTATACATTAAACAAATAATTTACCTAATTAATAATTTAATTATTCAACAACAAAAATTTTCAAAATAAATTTGTTTTAAATTTAAACTACAATAACATCATCTACCACTACAAGTATTATTAGCAGCATATTCAAGCAACTCAATTCCCTCTCAAAAACAACCCCCTCTGTGTCTAAACCCGCAACAATCTAACGATTTTAATTCAATATTTATTGGAACCTAATAATAATTTTGGGACTATTGTTTATTAAGCAGCAGCAGCAGCAACAGCAATTACATTTAACCTACATTAATATACTCATTAGCAACATAAGTTTCAAGCAACAGTCGCAGGTTTAAGGACAACGTGAAAACAACAAATACATTATAAGGAATTTTCAACCAGGAGACATACATACATACTTATAAAAGGAATAAACAAGTTGAAATTAAAACATGTTAAGCATATTTTTATAAATATTAAATTAAGGATTAAGAGGATTTTTATTTTTGCTAAAACTTTAAGACAGTTTAAGATAAGAGAAACTTTGAAGGCTGAACAAATAAAACAAGAGAAACAAATAACAAATTGAAACTACTCTCAAAAATAATTAATTAAGCATAATTATTCATAAAGATTTAATTAAGCAGAAAAAATATTTTAAATAGCAGAGAAGAGACTGATTTTTATTATTTGTAAATTAAGTAATAAATTTAATTAAGCAGGAGCAACAGAAAAGCAGGAGAAAACAAAGAAAATCCTTTAAACTCTTAAACACACACACACTCTCATTCTCATACCACTACAACAACAACCAACGGAAGGAAATTAAATGAGATTTGAAATCTTTTAAAGAACGTAATAAATACTTTAAGATCTATTTAATTTAAAAAAAACAAAGTGATTTGGATTTAATCCACTAATAAGCTAACGAAATCTAATATATATTTTTGCATATAAATAAAAAACAAGTAAAAATGTTGAAAAAACTAAAATGTCTAGAGGCGGCCAATAGTTTGGCAAGAGAAGCAGCCTCCAATAGTAATCATCACAATCAAACCAATAGTTTGCAACACAATACAACCAGTGTTAAGATCATTAAAACAGAACCATTGGATTTTGAAATGCTGCATTTGGAGGAGAAGGATTTAAGAGAGAGAAATTTAACCAGGGATAGTGAGACAACCACAACCATAACCTCTTCAACAGCGGCTGGAGTAAACAACAATAATATGAATGCCTCTCAAGTCACAGCAGCACCACCCCCTCCTCCTCCTCAGAGATATACACATGTACAGGTGCAAACTGTGCCACCCAGACAGGGCATAACCAATTCAGGAGCTGCCCAAAAGGTGATATTAACACCTAGAGTGGAATATGTGCAAATACCGGTCAGTAGCTCAGAGAGAACTTTAAGTAACGGTGCAGGCTCTTCGCCACAAATCATTATAACACGCACCTTAAACACCAACAATACATCAGTCTCTTCTTCGGCTAATACGCAACAGCAGCATCATCATACACATCACATACCACGCAGACACTCGGCCAGTCCCTCGCAGTATCATCGTGTCTCTCTCAATGTTACACACTCGAACAGCAACAACAACAATAATAGTCATTCAGCGCCTTCATCACCACCGCCTTTACATCATCAATTGCAGCAGCAGCAGCAATCAGCATCATCACTCAACTCAGGTTCGCAACATGTGCGCGTTATCAGAGATGGTCGTTTGTATGAGGAGTCACTAGCAAACTCCAGTGTGCCACTGCGTAGACATTCGGTATCGCCGCCGCCTTTACAACATTATACGCGTTCCGCGTCGGTTTCAACAGCCAACGGGGCTGGTCTCGTTCGTCGTTATACACCGCAATCGCCTCCTCTAGCACCACCACCACCTCCTCCCCCAGCGCCTAATCTCAATAATCAACTAAATACGGCTTCCTCAACGTCCTCACAAAACTGTCTGCAGGCCAATACGCCAGCAGGAGCATCAGGTTCAGCCACAGGTCAGAAATATATCATAACAAATACACCCACTTCACGCAAATATGTAGTGAATTTGATTTCAAACTCACCCTCAGCCTCACAACACTCAAACATTTACAATACAACCCAACAGTCGGGCAATTCCAATTCATCGTCTGGTTCACATCACCAACAACATATTATTATACCCTCAGCGCCCACATCACAACAACATCTCAGTAATCATCATCAGCATCAACATATATCCCATCATTCCTCTAACAACTCACAAAATAATGTCTCCTCTATTTATCACAATAATCATCATATGTCATCGCATCATCACAATTCACCTTCATCTTCGGCTTCATCCTCATCATCTGCATTAAATTCTTCAAATTCTTCTTCTACAATGACTACAACTCATATATTTCGTACTCCTCCTGTAGTGTCCAGCAGTAGCGGTCATCATACTTCCTCTACTTCATCTAACTCCTCATCGTCTTCTACAGCTTCAAGTTTAAATCAAAATAATAATTGCAACACTGCCATGCGTCCGCCACCACCACCGCCTCCTCCTAAAATGAAACATTGTTCGATGGGTCTCAACAGTCATGGTGTCGTTGTGGGTAATGGTGGTGGTGTCAGTGGTTCCATGTCCGCCACATCATCTACATCTATACACTGTCCACAACAATCAACGTCGTCTTCTTCATCTTCTTCGTCTGGCATGGGCAGCTTAAATGGCAACTGTGAGGAACCCTCCAGTTCGATTCCAGATTTAGGTAAGTCTCTTTCAATATATATTTTTTTCAAATGATTTCTTAAGATCCAAATAATAAGGAAAATACTTTGTAGTAGAGTCTTTAGATTATTATATAGTCGAGACTATAGACTACTATATAGTCAAGGCCATAGACTGCTCTATAGTCGAGACTATAGACTGCTCTATAGTCGAGACTATAGACTACTCTATAGTCGAGACTATAGACTGCTCTATAGTCGAGACTATAGACTGCTCTATAGTCGAGACTATAGACTGCTCTATAGTCAAGACTATAGACTACTCTATAGTCAAGACTATAGACTACTCTATAGTCAAGACTATAGACTACTCTATAGTCAAGACTATAGACTACTCTATAGTCAAGACTATAGACTACTCTATAGTTAAGACTATAGACTACTCTATAGTCAAGACTATAGACTACTCTATAGTCAAGACTATAGACTACTCTATAGTCAAGACTATAGACTACTCTATAGTCAAGACTATAGACTACTCTATAGTCAAGACTATAGACTACTCTATAGTCAAGACTATAGACTACTCTATAGTCAAGACTATAGACTACTCTATAGTCAAGACTATAGACTACTCTACTCTATAGTCAAGACTATAGACTACTCTATAGTCAAGACTATAGACTATTCTATAGTCAAGACTATAGACTACTCTATAGTCAAGACTATAGACTACTCTATAGTCGAGACTATAGACTACTCTATAGTCAAGACCATAGACTACTCTGTAGTCAAGACTATAGACTACTCTATAGTCAAGACTATAGACTATTCTATAGTCAAGACTATAGACTACTCTATAGTCAAGACTATAGACTACTCTATAGTCAAGACCATAGATTACTCTATAGTCAAGACTATAGACTACTCTATAGGCAAGACTATAGACTACTCTATAGGCAAGACTATAGACTACTCTATAGGCAAGACTATAGACTACTCTATAGTCAAGACTATAGACTACTCTATAGTGAAGACTATAGACTACTCTATAATCAAGACTATAGACTATTCTATTGTCAAGACTCTAGACTACTCTATAGTCAAGACTATAGACTACTCTATAGGCAAGACTATAGACTACTCTATAGTCAAGACTATAGACTACTCTATAGTCAAGACTATAGACTACTCTATAGTCAAGACTCTAGACTACTCTATAGTCAGGACTATCGACTACTCTATAGTCAAGACTATAGACTACTCTATAATCAAGACTATAGGTTTCTCTATAGTTAAGACTACTCTATAGTCAAGACTATAGACTACTCTACAGTCAAGACTATAGACTACTCTATAGTCAAGACTATAGGCTACTCTATAGTCAAGACTATAGGCTACTCTATAGTCAAGACTATAGGCTTATCTATAGTGGCGAGTGTGGACTATACTATACTCTAAACTCGAGACTATAGACCACTTTATACTCAAAACTATAGATTTTTTTTCAGTGTTTTTTTTTTTCTAAAAACATATTAATTCAATTTCATTTAATTTATGACTTAATTCTAACGGTATTTTGTTCAACAATATTTAAACATTAACATGTTCTAAACAGCCATTAATTGTCAATAAAATTCAATTTACAATCAATGTAAACGAATGAAATTAAAACTGAATTTAATTGTAAAAAAATCTTAGACTAAATATTTATTAGTTACAGCGAAGAAATTAGCAAAACCAGTTGACCCTGAAGGCTTAAAAGATACATATTTAGATACTCGGACACATTAGTTATCTTCAAGATATTCAACTTCGCCGCTTACACTTGCTCTGACATAAATGTTTTATTACAATTGTTTAGACAAAGTAAAGTTGACAATAGTAGTATGAAAAGAAAAAAACAACAACAACAACTAGGAAATGAATTGTTCAACTGTTATATGATGAAAATCATTGTAATTAATTTGAAATAAATAGTTAAAGTATTGAACTTTAAGTTAATATTTTTAACTAATTATGCTTTTAGAGTTAGACTTTAAGTATTAAGGTCAGTTGTAAGAAAAAATGTTTTAATTGCTGAACAAAATTCTATTCTAGACGGATGTTTATTTTGTGCTGAAATTGCTATATGATCGCTTGGTGTTTTGTAATTGTTTATTAACAATTCACTGGGTTTCATTTTACACATTTCATTCACAGAATAAGACGGCTCAGAATATGGCACGTATTTACAAATCTAGCCGTTATTTAACCTTGTAATTGAATACTAAATAGAAACAAATATGAATTGTAGAATAATGTGAAAATTTAAGATTTTAGTTTTGTGTATAAAAACTCTAAACAAAAATTTTAAAATAGAATTAAAAAAAAATCTTAAAAGCGAAAAATGATTAAGTTTTTTTTTATAGTGAAAACATACACTGAAAGAAAGACTTGACTATAGACTAGACTATAGACTAGACTATGGACTAGACTATAGATTACACCATAGAATAGGCAATGGACTAGATAAAAATAAGACTATAGCCTAGATTATAGACTAGACTATAGACAAGGCAATAGTCTGGACTATAGACAAGACTATAGTTTGGACTATAGACAAGACTATAGTTTGGAATATAGACAAGACTATAATCTGGACTATAGACAAGACTATAGTCTAGATTATAGGCAAGACCATAGTCTGGACTATAGACTGGACTATAGACAAGACAATAGTCTGGACTATAGACAAGACTGGACTATAGACTATAGACAAGTCTGGACTATAGACAAGACTATAGTCTGGACAATAGACAAAACTATAGTCTGGACCATAGACAAAACTATAGTCTGGACTATAACCAAGACTATATTCTGGACTATAGCCAAAACTATAGTCTGGACTATAGCCAAAACTATAGTCTGGACTATAGCCAAAACTATAGTCTGGACTATAGACAAGACTATAGTCTGGACTATAGACAAGACTATAGTCTGACTATAGACAAGACTATAGTCTGGACTACTATAGTCTATATCATAGACAATACCTTAGTCTGGACTATTTGACTATAGACAAGACTAGACAAGACTATAGTCTGGACTATAAACAAGACTATAGTCTGGACTATAAACAGGACTATAGTCTAGACCATAGACAATACTTTAGTCTGGACTACAGACAAGACTATAGTCTGGACTATAGACAAGACTATAGTCTGGATTATAGACAAGACTATAGTCTGGAATATAGACAAGTCTATAGTCTAGACTATAAACAAGATAATAGTTTGGACTATAGATAAGACTATAGTCTGGACTATAGACAACACAATAGTTTGGACTATAGACAAGACCATTGTCTGGACTATAAGCAAGACTATAGTCTGGACTATAGACAAGATTATAGTCTGGACTGTAGACAAGACTATTGCCTGGACTATAGACAAGACTTTGGTCTGAACAATAGACAAGACTATAGTCTGGATTATAGACAAGACTATAGTCTGGATTATAGACAAGACTATAGTGTGGACTATAGACAAGACTATAAACAAGACTAAAGTTTGGATTATAGAGAAGACTATAGACAAGACTACAGTTTGGACTATAAACAAGACTATAGTCTGGACTATAAGCAATACTATAGTCTGGACTGTAAACAAGACTATATATATAGTGTGGACTATATACAAGACTATATAGTCTGGATTGTAGACTAGACTGGACTATAGACAAGACTATATATAGTCTGGACTATAGACAAGACTATAGTCTGGACTATAGACAAGACTATAGTCTGGTCTATAGACAAGACTATAGTCTGGTCTATAGACAAGACTATAGTCTGGACTATAGACAAGACTATAGACAAGACTTTAGACAAGACTATAGTCTGGACTACAGACAAGACTATAGTCTGGACTACAGACAAGACTATAGTCTGAACTATAGACAAGACTATAGACTTTAGACAAGACTATAGACTTTAGACAAGACTATAGTCTGTTCTACAGACAAACCTATAGTCTGGACTATAGACAAGACTGTAGAGGGTAGACTAAAGGACAGTCTGCACTATAGACTAGACTATAGTCCACTCTAACGACTAGACTTCAGTTGATTTTTCTCCGTGTACTCTACTATTTATATTATTAATAATATTTTTGTTTTGTGTACATTTGATTTAAATCTCATGACGCGTCTTTTTGTTTCATATTCAGTGTTTTCTTTTGTTGTTGTTGCTTCTTTGTTCAGTTTCATTGTATCTAGATACATACGTGTGAGTATTATTAAAATTCTATTCTAAGTTTTGTTTATTTATTTCTTTCCTGAGCAGTTTGTTTATTTTAATCTCATTTCATATGTATCTAGATACGAGTGCAGAGTGTCTATATTTAAAACAGAAATAAAAAAATTGCATTATTAAGTTTTGTATCTTAATCATTCATTTATACTCCGTGTTTGCATTTTATGCAAACATGTCTAGAGAGATGAAATTATAAAATCTCTAACTGAAACAAAAGCAATTCAGGAAGTAATTTTGTTAAAGGGGAGTAAAGTTAAAGAGAAAAGTTTACCGGTACTTAAGAACTTTAAAATTTAAATTGAGAGTTTTTGTGTGTTTCTTAATTTTTTTGCACCACTGTTTTGCAATATTTTTAGAATATTTCTAATTATATTTTTGCTTTAACAAATCATTAAAATTAACAGACCTTTTAAAATTGTGTGTTTGATTTTTTTTGCAATTTTAAAAATATGATTTTTATTTTTAAACAAAATTTTAAGTAGGTACTTTTTTGCTTGTTCACTAACTTTTTTGTACTTTGTTTAATGGATTTGTGGGGTTCTAAGATGTTTTTTGTTGTCGTTGGCATTGAAACATTTTGAAATTTTAGATTTTAAATGACCTTGCAAAATAATTAAATTTTTATTTTGTTTCATATTTGTTGTGTTTATTATAAAAAGGCAGCAGCAGCAAAAAATTATATTTCACAAATGTTTCTTTTTTTTAATTGTTGGAATATGTAAGCAAAAATTCTACAAAATTTAAGGA